CCCCCGCCCCAGTTTCTGGAAATTAGACGCTGGATTCGATTAGAAGGCAATCAGTAGTTCCTACATCTTTTCATTTCAAAAGAAAGTGGGGGAAGCCCGCAGAGGTTGACAACTTAACATTTTACCAAGTAAGGCTAATTTTAAAAGAAGAAGATTTTACCTCCCCCAGCATAAGAAGGCTATCACCTCAGGGTAGCAAGGAGGGGGAACCCTCACAGAAAAGAATCCCCCATAGGAATTGGTTCAGCTTCCTTTAGTGGAACCCCTTGATGAGCCTCAGTGATTGCATCAAACAGCTGTCTGTGTGTGGCTGGGATGGGTCAGAAGGGAATGGGGGCTAGCAGGCGCCTCTGCACAGGAGCTGGCTGAGAAGGAGGAGGGAGCTGGGGAAAGGGGAAGAGAGGCTGGGGGAAGGAGCAGCTCAGGATCAGAGCAGGAGGGAGGTGGTGCTCATCCCCTGATGACAACCCAAAGCTCCACGCTGCCCTGGCACGTGTTGTCTGGGCTCAGGGAATGGCGGCGTGGCCTTGCAGCATCTCAGGTAAGGGTTGTGGTGGTCTGCAGACCTGGGCTTCGGGCCCAGCTTCACCACTGAGAGCCAAGTCACATGACCTCTTCAAGCTTTGACTGCTTCATCTGTGAAATGGGTGTGATGTGCGCCAGCTCACAGGTTGAGTGGCCATGAGGAAGACGTGGGAACACCTCACCATTAAACCCAAACACCCAAACCAATGGCTGTCCAGTTGGTTTCAACTCATGGCGACCTGTGTGTGGCAGAGTAGAATTGTGACCCCTCAGGTGACCAGTGGCTGGGCTTTTGCAAGTAGATTGCCAGGCCTTTCTTTCGAGCTACTTGGTATTGAAACCCTCCATAAAGAGCTCCTGAGCTTCCTCTTACCAATGACCATGTTTATTCAGATATTCCTTAATTGTAGGTAGTGAGGCAAGCTTGTAAGATGGGGGGTGGGGGGGGGTAGTGTTGTTTTTTGCAGGGAGGGTAGCTTTTGCAACTGTTAAATTCCGTGCAGGGGAAGGCAGGAGTATATCTGGAAGAGAAGGGAGGGAGGCAAGGTATCAAACTCAACTTTTTCAAGGCTGAGTGCTGTCTATGTCTGAGTAGCTGCTCCCTGGGAAATGACAACATCTCCTTCCAGGCCTGAGCCCAGAGGGCAGGGCCCCCACCAAGGACAGGAAGGGCTGGGGGAGATGGGGAGAGAGAGGAAAGGCTGGAGAGTGAACAGAAGGCAGGGAAGGTAGAAAAGGTGCTTCCAGGGACTGACAATCAACCAGAGGCAGAGAGAGGATGTGTGTCTGGGCGTGCATGCATGCCTGTCCTGTGCGTTTGTGCGTTTGCGTGAATATGCAATTGAGTTTGCAGGCATGTGTATGCACCAGATAGCAGGTGCATGTGGTATGCACTTGTGGATGTGTTTGTGCATGAATGGGTGTGCAAGCCCACCAGCATAGGAATATGTCAGTGGGTGATGTGGGTGCTTGGTGGTGGTGGTGGTGGTGGGGTGTGTGTGTATGTGTGTGTGTGTGTGTGTGTGTGTGTGTGTGTGTAGGTGTGAGCATGCGTAAGAAGTTCATATGCATGTGTGCTTCAAGCAAGCTTGAGTGTGCTGGGTTTGAGAGCATCTGAGCAGGACTCTGGGTCTAAC